TTTTTAAAGATGTGACTACTGTTTTAACAGAGCATTAAATGTCATTGTGAATTTATTGCATTCGAATACTGTGTGGCTCCTGGGGGATGCGGCAAATTGCACAGTACTAGTCCTGCATCATTCAGCCTGGAGAAGGCGGCCTGATACAAGAGGCGGAGATGGGGAAATGACAACTTGGTGGGCTCTGTGGGTAGCTCCAGTGACCAGGTGGAGAGAAGAGGAGCTATATGGGTCCACCTTCATCATGTTGGTCTGCTCTCACAGAGCTATCCAGAAGGAAACACCTTTGAGTCTTTCCTCGCTTGCCAATTGTCTGGGAAGGACTCTTAGTCTGCATGATGATCCAAAGGGGAAATGTTGCCTGTTCACCTTTTTTCCTTGCTTTCTCCCCGATAGTCTGTCCTGACAGAGGCATACAGCGATCAGGCCAAGGGAAGCCAAAGGTTGTACAAATACAAACCCCTCTGCTGTGCTGTGTTGCCTTCGCAGCCATGCAGCGTAGGCCAGCCAAAGCGCTCGTAGCGCACCAAAACCCTACAGGCTGGTGGGTGCTGAAGTCACCCTGTTTCTCACAGGGCTTCACCCTTAGCACGTTCACTGTGTTGCTGCATGAATCATAGAATCATAGAATATTTTGGGTTGGAAGGGACCCCTAGAGGTCATCTAGCCCAACCCCCCTGCCGTGAGCAGGGACACCTTTAACCGAATTGGGTTTCTCAGAGCCCCATCCAACCTGGCCTTGAACGTTTCCAGGGATGGGGCCTCCACTACCTCTCTGGGCAACCCATTCCAGTGTTTCACCACCCTAATTGTAAAGAATTTTTTCTTTATATCCAGTCTAAACCTACCCTCCTTTAGTTTAAAGCTGTTACCCCTTGTCCTGTCACAACTGGCCCTGCTAAAAAGATTGTCCCCATCTTTCCTATAGGCCCCCTTCAGGTACTGAAAGACTGCAGTAAGGTCTCCCCGCAGCCTTCTCTTCTCCAGGCTGAACAACCCCAACTCTCTCAGCCTGTCCTCATAAGAGAGGTGCTCCAGCCCTCAGATCATTTTTGTGGCCCTCCTCTAGACCCACTCCTAGAGCTCCATGTCCTTAGGAAGGATGGCACTGGATAAGGACAGCAGAGTATGTGCTTGCATTGCTGAAAAGAGGGGCAGTGTCTTTGGCCCACAGGGCCACCCGCTCCCCAGAAGAGCTGCGCTTCCAGCCAGCGGTACAGTGGGTGCCGCAGTTGCCCTCCGTCCCCCCAGTTCTCATCCCACCTGTGTTACTTGCACCCGTGCATCGTCACCCAAAGGCTGCACCCACTCTGCTTCCTGGCTTGCTCCTTCTCCCAGCTCCTCCGTCAGCCTTTACCTGGAGGGCCTGTCTCTTCCCAGGGCAGCTCTGGCACATGCGACCGGCCTGACGTCAGGATATTTTGCAGCTTTCTGAAAAGGCTCCCACCGCATGATGTATTCGGCCGCGTGGTGCGCGAGAACCGCAGCCCCCGAACGCGGCGGGGGGGCGCCCC